TGACTCCTGGATTGCTTGACACTCTGGCAGATGAAAAACTTTGGAGCTAGTATCCTGAAATTACTGGTAGCCACAGATGTCCCAGTATACTAGGTCCTACACTGGTACATGCAATTTCTGTCTCTGGACCAAGCCCCAATGCCATCTTTCCACTGAACAACTACATCTCCTCCTTGTCTTCTTGGAACAATGGAGTGTCACTTTGGTGAACTTCATCATAGAGCTCCCCAATACAATGCCATCATGGTAGTGGTGGATCTATATAGTGAGCAAGCACACTTTATTCCCACTCACATTACTTGCTCCATCATGGGCACTGCAAACCTGTACTGGAGAAACATCTGAAAGCTTCATGGCTGCTTCAATGCCTATATATCTGACCATGGGCCACAATTTGTAGCAGACTTCACTAGAGAGCTCTACCAACTACTCAGCATGAAGCTGCACACCTCCACTACCTACCACCCACAGTCCAACAGCCAGACCAAACACATGAATCAGGAGCTCAAGCAGTACCTCTGCCTCTTCTGCAATGAGTGTCAGGACAACTGGGACAAATTCCTTTCTAATTCCAAGTTCCAGTACAACAACCATGTTCATATGGCCACCTAGTTTTTGCCCTTCTTCCTAGACACTGAATGTCACTCATGCATGGGCTTCAAACTCTGGGCCTGGTTGTCAGAGAATGAAGCAGTAGACAAATTTTGAAGACCAGATGAAGAGATTACAAGAGGGAGCCCAGGCAGCCCTGGCAAAGGCAAAGAATGACATGGCATAGTATTATGACTATGGAAGAACCCTGGCATCCAAGTACCAGCCTAGGGATTGGGTCTACCTAAACACTTTCAACATTACAACCACTCAACCATCAAAAAAGCTCTTGCACTGCTAGTTAGGACTCTTCACAGTAGAATGGCAGGTCAGGCCACTAGCCTATTGACTCCAGCTCCCTGTGAGGATGTGCCAGCTCCATCCAGTATTCAATGTAGTCAAGCTGTTGCTGGCCTCAGAGGACCTTATTCCAGGGTGATGCCCAGCACCCCCACCACCTCTGATGGTGATCAATTACAATGAGGAGTATAAGGTGGAGGAGATCCTGGACAGTTGTCTGTTTCAGCAATGGCTACAATACAAGGTGAAGTGGAAAGCTCATGGAATCAAGGACATTTCCTAGGAACTACAGGAGAATGTGCATGCACTGGGGCTGATTAAGGAGTTCCACTGGAGACATCAGACATGCTGCAAGCCATCCAAGGAATCTACTCCATCTCACTAGTGGACCAGGCAATCCGGAACATCTTTTACCCTGCATGTCAAGATGCTGCATGCTAAAGGGGGGGTGATGTCAGAGGACTTCCATTTCCAACCTTTGACTTCTATTTCTGACCTCTGCAGCAATTTCTGCAGCTCATTCCAGACCCCTGAAGATCTCTGGAGACCCTTGGAACTTCCCATGGTTCCTCATTAAGCACTTCCCTAGAATTAGAGCTAGCTCTAGCCTTCTGTACAGTTGTTCTCATGCTTCCACCACCCACTGATGTGCTGCACTAAGCAGTGGGGATCCTTAGACTTATTCTCTTTGGATTCCCCTCTGCTAGGTGATTAGTTACTATTTGTATTGTTGGTTACCTTGCTAAATATACTTTGGATTCTCCTCTGCTAGCTGCATGATTGAGCCACTGCTCCCAGAAGTTGCCCTTACAGCAGGAGATGCTTGCAGGTTCCTATGCTGGCTGAGCCAAGCCAAATGATCTCCTTCTGATGGAATTCTGCCTAGGCAATGCATGAGTGCCAAGTACTTCATACAGGTCTGCTGGGAAGTGTGAGCATGATGCCACTTCAGAGGTATGCTTTGCATACAACAAAGGAACATGTACCACATCCCCATGCCTGGATGGCCACATTCACAAATGCTGGAAATGCAATGGCAAGGATCACATAGAGAAGGACTGTAAGAAGACATGAGGATGTGCTGTGGCAGGCTTGGAGCCACCAAACAGGTTCTATCTATAGTCTTGGCTTTGTCTTTTCCATCTCCTCCAGAATTCTCACCCAGCCTCATTAATTCTCATTTCTTCCCTCCAGGCCCACTGCCTCCACCACATCCCAACTCTGATCCACATTGTAACTCTGTCCTCATGCTACACCCTTCCTGATCCCTAGTTGCATCAGCTCTTGTCTTCAATGCATAGCAATATTATCTACATGACTATCCCAATCCTAAATTTATATCATTGATTCTCAATATAATTAAATTTGGTGCTGACATTGGGTTCATTGGCAAGCAGCACCATCAGTCATGCAAGAATCTTAAGTCCTCTCTCAAGAACAGCAAGTGTATGGAAGCATTTGTCTTTTTCCTCATTAACTCATTGAGCAATCCCATGCTGCAGGCCCCTTCAATTCCCCACCTTTCCCAAACTTTTGCTGCTTGCCACTGGGTATGGTCAGGTGCAAAAGGAATCCAGGGAAGTTGTGTCTGATCAACCACCTTTCATGGCCTGAGGGCTCTTCAGTCAATGATGGGATTCCAGATGGGGAGGGTCACATAGTTTATAGCATGTTTGTGAAGGCTCTGGAAAATTTCTGTCAGCTTGGTTGTGGTGCATTGATGGTTAAACTTGATCTCAAAGATGCATTCCATCATATTCTTGTACAAGCTGAAGATTGGCATCTTCTTGGTTTCAGATAGGGCTCAAAGCTCTATTATCTCATTGTATTGGCTTTCAGTCTCAAATATGCACCCTACATCTTTCACCTTTTTGCTGAGGCTTTGCACTGGATTATTCAGCACCACATTCCAGCTTCCTTCCATCATTATCTTGACAATTTCCTCCTCATGTTCTCTCCTTCCACTCCCTCCTCAATGCCCAATACCACCATCAAAGAGCTTTCTGGTCCTGGTGGGAAGCTAGGGCTCTCCTTCCAAGACTCTAAAACAATATGGCCAACAACCAGAATTGAATTTCTTGGGCTCAAGATTAATTCCAAGGCAATGGAAGCATGGCTTCCCCATAACAAAATGGCTTTCCTAATGGAGCTGCTGAACAATTGGTCATCAAAGTGGAAGTGCTCTCTTTGTGAGCTGCAGAAACTCACTAGTTTCTTGCAATTTGCATCCCAAGTTATACCCCAGTCACAGGCTTTCCTCTATTGTCTTTTGATTTTGCCAGCTCATACAAGTCCCCATTTGCAACATGCCACATTCTCAAGTCTGCAGCATCAGACATTTGCTGGTGGAAGATATTCAGCACTCATCAGAATGGCATCATGCTCATAGCTCCATTGTCTCCCTCCCTATCCATTCACACAGATGCAAGTGGGAGAAAAGGCATTGGAGGAATTATCTCAGACCAGTGGTTTTTAGCACAAGTTCCCCAATGCTTCTGCAGCTGTGATATCTGGTTCAAGGAGATCTTTGCTATTCTTCATGCAATTCTGTGCTGGGAAGATGCATGGCATGGTCATCATGTTACCTTCTTCTACAACAACTCAGCAGTGGTAGCATGGCTCAACTTAGGAATGGCAAACTTGGTCCACAGCATGCAGATCTTAAGGACCATGATCATGCTTGCAGCTTGTCTCAAATTTTCCTTTTCTTCAATTTGGATACCTTCTGAGGAGAATGTGCTCACTAATACTGCTTCTTGTTGTTAGTACAGCAAGTTGTTCCAGCTTGCCCCTCACCTTCCCCATGCACCCTCATTTTGAAAATCCCAGCTCACTAGTATGAAGCACACTCTAGTCTCTCACTTCAAGCAGCATTCCATTTATGGCATGGTTTGGCTACCAGCACTAGGAAGACCTACTTGACCAGCCAGAAGTCCTACATCAACTTCTGCTAACTTAACCCAGGGGTGCTCAGCAAGCCAGGTCACTATCTTCCAGCCACTGACCATGCAGTTGTTGAGTGGGTCTGCTCCCTTGGGGATTGTGTGCTTCAACCCAAAACCATCAAGAGTTATCTCTCTGCTGTCTATTCTCTGCATGTTGATGAGGAACTCCCATTTGATTTCTGTGAATCCAAGATTGTGTGTAGAATCATTCAAGGCATCAGACACTTTTACAGAGAGCATAAGTGCAGCCCAAAGCAACCAATTACCCTCAACATCCTTCAGAAACTTGCATCAGTAGCAGGAAACCTCTCCAACCTCTTTGAGGCATCCTTTAATGTAGCATTCAAAACAGGCTGGGCAGGATTTCTTTGTTGTGGCAAATTTACATCCCGACACACCAAGAAATTCAGCCCCATGTCCTACCTGACTTGTGGATGTGTCACTTTTCTTCCAACTTTTGAATCCCCTTTCTATGTCAGACTCAACCTTCTTGCATCCAAAACCAACCCATTTTGTAAGGGTGTCTTCATCTTGCTGGCAAGTGCACCTGTCAGTTCATCCACCTGCCCAGTCTCTGCACTACAGAAGCTGTTTATACTCAATCCCAAACCTCACAACACACCACTCTTTATATGCCCAGATGGATCCCCCCTTTCTCATGAGGTTTTTGTTGCAATGTTTAAGCAGTGTCTCTTGAGCTGCAGCATCAATCTCTCATGATCCTCTGGCCACAGCTTCTGTCATGGTGCAGCTGCTACCACCACCACAGTTGGATATGCCAACCACAAAATACAGCTCCTGGGTTGCTGGTGCAGCAATGCATACAAGCTGTACATTGATGTTCCCCACAAGCAGATTTTAGGCCTATCCTCACATCTCCATCTGGCTGCTTCTCATGCATACAATTTCAAGCCTCTGTCTCTTCTGTTCACTCCCTTTGTGGCTTGAGTACAGTTTCCCTCTCAGGATCAATGCAAGAGAGCAAGGGCAACCAAATAGAATCTTATTTGCTTGCAAGTACATGCAAACATCAGATTATGCATTGTACCAAAAGGAACTCCAGCTCTATCACTCCTCTCCATCACCTCCCATCTTCCCACTTGTTCCTCTCATGAGCCAACATAGACCCCCTTGATAACTGGCTAGGAAAGAAAAAAAAATAGAGCCTCAGTTGCTTAGTGGTCAAAGCACAATTCTGAAGAAATTGAGATGGGCAGTTCAATTCTCTCCTAAGGCAAAACTTCAATAATAAATAAAGAGGTTTGTTTTATTTGGATATTTATTATAAGTGGTTTATTTTTTGGTAAGATAAGATGAACTGAGTGGCCTTGGTTTTATTGGATTTAATTAAATTATTTTTATATTTTTTCAAATTATATTTGAAATATATTACTTTAGTTGCCTTATTTTTATACTTTTTTTAATTGGAAATGTTTAAATATAATGTAATAATAGGATTAGGAGGTTATACCACCCTATTTGTGGCTGACCCACGTTTGCCTCATTTTCTCAGGTTGATGTCGCAATGGGGCAGAGAACCATGTATCAGGTTGTCACCCATTTCTTGTCATCATCCATTGAGACGATAATGTACCTATCTTTACCACTGACAATATTTGCTAACAGACCCGATGCCAAGTCAAAGCTCCGGAAACTCGGAAGTACGTGACCGCAGACGGGCAAATTACGTTAGAAAACGTGGGTGCTGCAATTACGTAATAGGAAGTACTTTGTGGTGGCAAGTGGTGGGGTAGATGAGTACTAGTCAGGAATGCTAGTCTTCAGACCATTTACGCGGTTATCTCCCGGTGGATTCTGTAGACGGCTATCGACATCCCAGAGAGAAGCATTTTTGGACAACGTCCCTTCTCACCCGGGCATCGTTTGTCTCTCTTTAAACCGACCACAGAGCAAGAATGCCATCTCCTTGGCTCTTCTCCAGGTGATCACAAATGATTGAGTGCCACTCTTTATTCTGAGAATTTGAACTTCAGCAATTTAGAGAGAGTCTAGAGAAGGTTCATCTTGATAAGAGGTAGAGTTTTCAATTCACTACTCATAAGTTTCCCCTTACCGCCATATGATTGTTTAAGCGTACGTGTCCTCATTCTCCGGTCATCAACTATGGGGTCTTTCTGTGCCGGCGCGGATCTCGCTGAAAGGCGTAATATGTCTCAAGTACAAGTTTCCAAGTTCCTTTCCGACCTACGTGATGCATTTGGAAAGCTTGAAAACCTTCCCATGCCTACCATTGCCGCCATTGACGGTCCTGCCCTCGGAGGTGGATTGGAGCTGAGTCTTGCCTGTGACTTGCGTGTAGCAGGTATTGCTGAAACAAGCTGGTCCACTTTTGATCTTGATGGGTTTTAAAGGCCATAATGTTCAGAAGATCGGTCTTCCTGAGACCAGTCTTGGAATTATACCAGGTGCTGGGGGCACACAGAGAGCCGCAAGACTTCTAGGTCCCTCGAAAGCTAAAGATTTGATTTTTACCGCACGTAATCTGACTGCGCAGGAGGCTCTCGCATGGGGTATCTGTTCAAAAGATGATATTCTGTCAAGTATAAACTAATTTCCGACTAGGTCTTGTCGATTATATATCGAGCCCTGAAACAAGCGCGTTTGACCGGGCTCTTACCGTGGCAGAAGTCATTGCAAAGAACGGTACTTACATTATTACCTCATAGAATTGGGATTGTTTTCTTATTATTCAAGCCCCATTGGCTCTTAGGGCAGCAAAACAGGCAATCTCAAGGTCTGAGGATCTGGCACTCGAAAAAGGTTATCATTTTCGATTTAAATTGAAGTTCTCTCATCCATATTCTACAGGATTGGACTTTGAACGAGCCTCATACGAAACCCTCCTGCCAACCCAAGATCGGTTGGAAGCTTTGCAAGCGTTTCGCGCAAAGCGGAACCCCGTGTTCAAGGGAGAATAAGTTGGAGTACAATAATAGTATAACTACAGATCCTGGTATCATATGTCAATATTCTCAATTTCCGAATGGCCGGGAAGGCATCACAAGACCTCCTGCAAATCCCCCTGGAACCAGTGCAATACCATCGCTCAATCTTAAACCTTCCAAATCCTTCATCATTAAACTCAGTCGGCCAAAGCGGTCCTTCAGACCCCTGCCCTCTGTTTCCACCTCTGGCAAGCCCTGGGAGTCATTGAACAATTTTCCAAATTGGCTCCAGTCAATTCTCATCATCAAATAAGGCTTGAGCAGGGAGGCGTCAATACGTCCAAGATACCCTTCAGTGATATACGACTTCAGGATATCAGGGCGCACGAGAAAGATATTTCCAAGTTGTCGAATAAATTCGTATCGTTCGTGAAGCGCAGGTATCCCAAAAGTCCGAATGATGTCCTGGTAAGATTTAATATCCCTAACAAAACAATGATTGTGAACCCGTCACACTACGCGACAACATATGCCACTCACTTTGCAAGCATCAGACCACCTGTTGCACTGACTGGAAACTTGCGAAGGTGTTCTAGAAGGGCACTGTTTCCCGTCGTCAGACACGCAACGGCCGAGGAAGTCTTGGATGTCACCTATGAAACGCAACTCCAATCTCAGTAAGGAAGACCTCGAGGTTTTTTCCACTGAGATCCTGATTGGCCGCGTCTCGAACTTTTTCAAGAACTTCACAACAAGCTAGGCATGGTTCGGTATTTACCCTCGCAAATGATAAGTCATCATCTCGCGGATTGAAATCGTTGCGCTTTTGTTTGGCAAGTAGTGCACTTAGCCAAGCGACAATTGCTTTGATGGTTGAGTCACTTCGTCACCCATAGTCAACGTTACAACTTACAATCCGTGACACGTTGTAGCAGATGGTTTGTGGCCCCCTCAAGTCGGCTGACCGTTTGGTTATTGAAGACAGCCATCTCGCGGCGCGTCGTTACAGAGGAATTGGCCAAAGGAAGTAGAGCAGTATTCACGTACTGCTGCCATAGATGACAGATGAGATCTACAGATCGTATAACAGAAAGAGATTGTAAGCTTGGTCCGATTTTGGTATCAGCCCCTTCGACTCGCAGTTGCGCCCTGTACGGAGAGTTAGAAGGATGCAGAAACAGAATCAAATTACACACGTTTCAAGGGCTGCACCCATGTATGCATTGTCAATCGCTTCGGCAAGAACTCGAAGGAGAGAAAATGTATTCTTTGCACTGTTCGATTGAGAAATGAGCGATTAATTGCTCAAGAAAATCAAATATGTACTTGTCATTTGCAGGGCTGAGCTCAATACAGCGGCCAACGGCCTCAGCATGCCATCTGAGCATCTTTTCTGCGATATCAACGCTCAATAAGCCATCTTCTTCTCGTATAGGCTCTTCGGCTTTATCTTGGTTGGCATTTATACCACCAAACCTCATCAATGCAGCAGCAGCTTGTGCTGAAGTAGTTGATCCTCCACTCATGGTGGTCGTCGCGGCGGCGGCGCTGAGTTGATTTTTCATACGATCGAACATTGATGATTTGCCTTTTTGTGTTCTTTCCTGCAACCAGCTGTTCATCAATCGCACTATGTAATGCAGGATAAGTTTCGTACATGGTATCGAGTGAACTGGGTTAGAAGACCCGAGTAGAGCGCACTCAAACTTCGGCTTTCACGCTCGAGGTATCGCTGACCCTCTGTGTACGGGACAAAGAGCTCTTCCATCGCGGTCTCTAACATCGTACTGAGAGCAGCAGACGTCCCTGTGGAAGTTGTGTTGGATGTTACTAGTAGTTTGCGGAACTCAGTCGCCTCATACGGGGTTCGAGGTGATACATGAGGAAGCTCGTATGTTTTGAGATCATCTACCAGAACTGACGTTTGGACATGGACGAGTTGTAGAACCCGCAAATACACCAAGTCAGAAATAGAAGAACCTCGATGGAGGAGCTGCTCCATATGTTGCTGTATCTAAATCGGAGTCAGATATCGATCATTTCCCACATGGTGTTGCTCACCGATTGCGCAAATACTCTTTGCAGGAATACCTGCATGACGACAGAAGGATTAGGAAAAACAGCCTTGACAATCTGAGCTTCTGTCTCCACAGTCGAGCGAATTTCAACAAATAATTCCGCTAGTCCTTGTTCAGTTCTGGGGGGACTTGCGTTAGGATCTGGCACAAGATCCCATCTATAGGTATGATAAGTGACAAAAAATAAGGACATGCAAAAGACGCACAGAACACGGTCGTCTATAGGTTTGTTCGTTCGGACGTTGTTGATAAAAAAGTCATGTTGATTTACATAAACTTGCACGCATGATGCACCGCCATTGAATTCAAGAAGTGTCTGAGCACAGTGCTGCCGGAGATTTTTTGTAAGTGTGGAAGGCATGAAACATAAATGACGCCCACATTCATCATCTTAGGATCACCCTTTCTGTAGCATCGGTCGAAGAGATTGAGCATTTCTTTTTCAAACTTTTCGCAATACTTTTCTATAGTTTCTCGAGTCTGATCGAGACGTTGATGGAATTAATTGGCAGGAGTAACAGAATGGACGTACTTTGTCGGCATTAGGTAGATCTACTTCTCTCGCAACTGTATTTAGCCGTCGCAATATGACTGCAACCTGACGCCGACCAGCTCGTCCTTCCTTCCTCATAGTGTCCAAACGTGCTGTGTCGCCCTTACTCAACTGATTGTAGAAGTCTATGATGTCATAAGCAGCTTGTGCTCTTTGCCTTTCAAGGTGAACCGTCTCAAGTTGTTCGCCTGAGCGTAATTGAGCTTCAGTCAACGTATTCTTTGGCCAAACACACACCGATCCTGACTGCTGTGCTGCTCACCGTGTTCATTCGGGATTCCATATTAGAAAAAGACCCTGCGACAGTCTAGAATCATGAGAAGCACGACATGAGTACTGTCAAACGACGAAATACCTCAAAACCACGACTGAGGTCTGCCATCTTCTTGGAATATTCACGTTCTGAAACACGGACGCTCTTCTCCATCTGCTCAGTCTTTGCCTGGACTTCCTTCCTCACAGAAATTAACCGGTCGACTGCGGCTTCAAAGGTTTCAATGAACGGCTTAGGGTCAAATGCTAAGCAGGATATGTAGACTGTACATTCTTGAGTACGGCAGCCATGACTCACGTCCATTATCCGTTCGTGATTGTGTTATGAGCTTCTCAGATATCGAGCCAACAAAAGGAAGTCGGTAACATTGAATTTTCCCTATTAGACAAGTGAATTGGACATCTGGAGAACATGCCATCCAGACAC